CTTCCTTCCTTCCTTCCTTCCTTCCTTCCTTCCTTCCTTCCTTCCTTTCTTTCTTTCCTTCTTTCTTTCTTTCTTTTTCTCTCTCTCCTTCCTTCCTTCTTCCTCCTATCCTTCCCATATAAAAAATTGTCTGGTCAAATCGTCCCATCTCTTTGGGACAAAGGAGATCCACTGAGATTTTTTATAGGATCTACATCTTTGAGAAGGAAGGGGGATAAAGGGCAGGAAATCTTTCTGTTGATGTCGCTCTGCTGACATCACCATGGATTCAGTGTTCAAATCCACAGCCAGGCAAAACTCAAATAAATTTTCCTCTTTGTAAGCAGCTGCACTGTGAGTTCGCCTTCCATTAGTAAAGGAACAATGAAAGAAAGGCAAACTCTGCGTCCAAAACATGGCCAATGAAAAGACACTGGAATGGAAGCCAGGTATCCTGCTGTGGTACAGAGGTGTAGACTCATGAATCCACCACAGTCAGATATTTGCTTCTTTTTAACAGCCCTATCAGCAGAGAGAAATGACTCCCGAATCATTTTACAGCAAAAAAGTTAAAACGATGCCTCAGTGGCGCTGCATCACGCCAGCTACTCACTGCCCAATTCATTGATTACACCTTAAACTATTCTTAACTATAGATAGCCTATCTCTTAATCATGCTTAGCAAGTGAGTGGTTTGGTATAAAACATTTGTACAAAAATTTGGGCGTATTCCGAGACTTCACATTCCTATTTGATCGTTTTTCTGGTAAAATTGTTCTCAAGGTCCATGGATAGCCAGGGGAATTCCAGGAAAAATGTGAAGTTACTTATTTGCAGAACCTATTTATTATGTGTAGTTCTGGAAATAAAGTAAACATAATGGTTCACGATGTTTTTCTAGAAATACTTTTATTTCAGTTTTTGTTTTTCTTTTTACTCTTGTTCTAGTGTTACTTTCAACTTTACAAAAGAATTGGGTGGCAAAAGAAACTAACTGAAAAACAAGTAAAAATTATTAACCCATTTTAAAATATTTTAAATGTCTTATTTTCCAGATGCAGGTGATGATTTGAAGATATTAGCCTAGCAAGATGGAAGCAGATTTAAAATTTTACATAAGAAGTGACCTTTTTCAGGTAATGATGTTTTTCTGTAATTTTCCCAAACCTTTCATTTCCTCTAGTATTGCAAATTTTTAGGGCATGCTTGAGTGATTTAATAAAATGAAGAATAACTACATTTTAAACTTAATTTTCTTACCCAGTTTTATAATTTTCATAGCCCATGAGTAGAGCAGGCATGGCATTCAGGAGTTTGGAAAAATTTTTTAAATTCATTACTGAACAGCACTTGGTTTTTTGGATCTGAAAATTAAGCCATAGAGCTACAACTAAATTCTGAGTTTTGCCAAACTTCACAGCACCCACCAGCAGGCTCTGAGCAATCATAACATGCATTTAAAACTAGCAGGCACTGCCCCTTAACTCTCTCACTGTCTTGGGCATTTGATTTAAAAAACGTAAGTATTATAGGATTGGCTCTAAAAAGCCTGCCATGTGTTCTGAATTCCTGGAAGATAGAGCTTATATAAATTGCATAATAACAATATTGATTTTTAAATTTTAGTCCTAGATTGGTAATACTATATGGCACTTTATGAAACTATTCCCATGCATATTCAGTGAGTAGGATTTGATCTTAGCTTTCATGATACAGGCAGTTTCCTTTCAGTGTCATTGAAGGGCTTTTTACCACCTAAAAATGTTTAATAACATAAATTACATATTTGCTCTATAAGTTACATTACTCTGCTTTTGTCATTGTTTATCAGCATTAACCCATCTTTTCCAACTTGTTAATATTACTAAGAGAGCCCGAAGAATCTTGCTTAATGAAGCAAGCCAAAATTTCTTCTGGAAAAATACCTATTTTCCTCCTGAACCCAAAGAAGATTCTTAAGGGTTATATTCAATTAATATTTTAGGAAAAATATCTACTCCCAAACAAACCATGCCTTTACTAGGTCAGTATTTGATTTTCTTCTCTCTCTCTCTCTCTCTCTTTTTTTTTTTTTTCTGCAGCCTAGGTATCTTCTAGTTGTTCTTTTATTTTCTAAAATTGAAACTTGGGATTGTTTGCAGGTTAACGCCATAAACCATTTGAAATGAAAAACTTCTCTCTGTTCTATATTTGCCAAGAAAAGGGAGAGCTGCCTCCAACTGAAACGCAGCATTGAGCTCCTTTCTATGGAGGTCAAGAGCGCCATGCAAATTTATGAATGTGGTGCTATTTGAATGTCTCAGTGTACCACTTTGATAGATCTTAGTCTATTGCTAACAAATATTGTATCGTTTTAATAAGCGTGATGATAACAGTTCGTTCTCATTACTCTGAGACCTTGGGCTTATTTTGTTCCATTATAATAGGAGCTCCTACACCCCCCACATTCCAGCAATATTTAACAGCATTCAAAGCGCCCATCCTCAAATACCTCTAGCCCCATGCCTTTGTCAGAGAGATGGAAGGAAAAGAAGCAGCTCAGGGCTTATTTAAAAATCTTTTATTTTAGAAAGGAAATGAACATTTTAAAATAAAATAAATTAAGTAAAGACCATCTGGGGGTGACTGATTTGGATACTACTTACTTCCACTTGCTATTGTTGTTTCTTCGGATCTGAAAATTAAGCCAGAGAGCTACAACTAAATTCTCAGTTTTGCCAACCTTCGAAGCACCAGCAGGCTCTGAGCAATTGTACCGCAGCTCACTTGTGATGAGACAGGGAGACAACAAAGTATCCATGAATGGTTATGTCTCAGTTTCTGTTCATCGTAGTGTTGGTTTCCTGTTCTCTTGATTTAATGTTTTAGGTTGCATACATGAGGGCCTGCTCTTTTCTCTGAATAATTCCTCAATTCATCTCTGCCTTTTTTTGTTATTAGTAGGGCCTCATTTCGTCTCCCAGATTCTTCTTCTTTTTTTTTTTTTTGAGACAAAGTCTCGCTCTGTCAGGGCTGGAGTGCAGTGGCACAATCTTGGCTCATTGCAACCCCGCTTCCAGGCTCAAGCAACTCTTGTGCCTCAGCCTCCAGAGTAGCTGGGATCACAGGCACATGCCACCATGCCCAGCTAATTTTTTTTTTGTATTTTTAGTAGAGACAGGGTTTCACCCTGTTGATCAGGCTGGTCTCGAACTCCTGACCTCAAGTCATCTGCCCACCTCGGCTTCCCAAAGTGCTGGGATTACAGACATGAGCCACCAGTGCCTGGCCCCAGGTTCTTGAGAAAGGAGTGAGTGAATGTCCATTTGTTGAAGCAAATGAGATAATTATTTTGAGAGCCAGGTTCTATAATTATAGCTAGCAAAAGTAAAAAGGTCTCTTTTTAGGTCATGTAAAGGAATGGAGTCATATGTGTTTCCCAGCTTCTAGGACGGGAAATTATTTCGCTTTCTAACGTGTGTCCCTGAAGTGTTTATGATTATGACTGTCTTCAATACAATTCACAAAGCCGCCATTAATAAAAATTCATGTCTTGGATCTTTCCTTCTTATATGTAGAACATTGGCTTTGCAGAAAAAAAATGTAATGTTGACAAATGAAATCATTTTATAAGAAGATCTCTGAAGCAGATTCATCCCTGTACTCTCAAACAGTTTTGAGGGGAGAACAATTATGTAATTTCTTTCATGGTTCAAATTTTATACAGTATATCCAAATTTGCTCATTGTTGGTGTTTGGATCAATAGTAAGTGTGGGGGTGGGAACAAAAATGCAAACTTCTCCTGAAGGTGGATCTGAATATAGCTGAAAATCTCCTCTAGAGTGGTTTTCAAAAAAGTATGCCTACAAATCTCTTGGTAGTACTTGCTAAGTTTATTCCAGTTGTTTTCCAGAATGCAAATGAGAAAATGAAAGTTTCACCATCATTTTTAATGTAATGACAGGTATTTAAAGGAGTGAACTTGCATTTGGGCTCTCATGTGTTCTTTCTCTCTGCCTACAACTTAAAGAATTTTCTTTATTCTGCTGATTTGCCATGTTGATATAACTTTGCCCAGGCTGTGTGTTTAGCAGTGAATACATGAGTCTTCCATATGTAAACAGTAAAATGAGGTTTAACTAAAGTCCACTGGACCTATGGAAAAAGTGGAAAACAAGGGAGGCATGTTGGGGAGAACATAGAAGATGTTGCTTAACTTTTGATTTTGTGAGAGCAGGATGAAGTCCTTTCTATTTCTGGCATAAAACAATGGAATGGTAGACTCTTTTGTTGGATTAATGGTTTTAACCTTTCATTTTCAGACATGTCACACCCCCAAAATGAGAGAAGATATTGAGGCCTGTTGCCACAAACCCGTAGATCCGAACTTGTGGTGTTAGTCTGCACAAGCTTGTGTCTATAGGTATGTGTCTGTTAGGCAATCTCACAGACCTCGGGCTATGCCTATATGGCAGTCAATATCCCTTCAAGTTATTTCATTTTCCCGCTCTTCCCCTTAGTTTCCTTAGCGATAAAAATGGAAAAGGGGGCTGATGTGGAGGAAAGAGATCTTTCGTCCTGAAATGAATGAGGTTCCTCAGTGATTAATTAACAGGCTTGCCCTCAATTCCCATATCTCTTGTAGCTGGTCTCAGCTGTCAAATTAGAAGGCTGGGCTTGCAGGTGAGGCAGCAAGAATTTGAGTGATTGGGACAACTTACTGTGGAGTGATGAGTAAATCGATAAATAAGCATTTGTTTTGTTTTCTGTAAGCCTAATTGTTTTCAAAGTTATTGTGATAGATTCCAGGAAGTGGCAAACATGTTTACACAACCAATTTCACCTTGATTTGAGTTTTTGAGTTTTCCTTTGTTCCAATTCTTCTTCCCCCATTTCCCCAATAATTTTGATTAAGAAGATAAGGACTGATAAATCAGAATGGATGTGTTTAACTGCTTAACTAGTTATACTTCTGTAAATACCCAGTAGTGTAAGAAGGACTTTTTATAAAAAAGAAATCTCCAGTTTAGGTCCAAATTCATATTTGGCCAGAGCTGTTTTATAAGTCTTTATCCTGTTAAAAGGCTGGAATGAAAATAATTTTATCCCCTTGCCTCTTAAATGTCACCATTGTGCCAGATTTGAAAAGCTAAACTGACCACAGATCAAAGAAAAACTGGCTATATTTGTCTCATTCCAACAATGTGAGCTGAGGAATCTGTAAACAGAACCCACGGTGAAAAGTTGATCAGATTTGGGTGACTCCAAAACTTTTGCATTCGCTTTTGGTAAAACATAGTGCCAGAAATTCCCTTAAGATTTGTGTGTGTGTGTGTGTGTGTGTGTGTGTGTATGTGTGTGTGTGTGTGTGTGTGTGTGTGTATGTATGTGTGTGTGTGTGTGTGGCCTCTTCTAACAAAAAAAGTCAACATGAAGTAGTTGGTGGGTTAACATTAGAAAAAAGTTTGAAATTCAAATGGATAAACTTTGTCTCCTCTTAAGACCTACTCAGGAATAACTAAAACTCTTTCATTTGCCCAGTGTATAGAAATGAGATTTTGTATTTCTGAATTAGGACAGCCTAGATACACCTGACATATGTATAAGGGGTAGAATTTGGAACTCTGTAATTGCTAGACCAAGAGGACATTGTTTCCATGCATTTCCTTTGAATTTCCTTTGCGCAGCATTAAGGAGGCTTGTCTATAGTGCTCAACTTCCTGCTTGTGGGGAAAGCATTGCTTTATTATGGAATGATGGCATATTACAACCAAAAGTGAAAGACTGTCTTCGTTGGTGTGTGTTATATAAATTGTTTGCCTAAGGCCTTTATCTACTCGATAAGCAAACAATTTGCTTGGTTAGTTTTATATGTCTCTTTGAAGTGGTTAACTTGGAATGAATAAACCACTAATAAATTAAAACTGGACCTCCACTAGATAAATACTTGTTTGATAATGGCAAAATCACATCTCTACTCATCATCCCTTTAACTTGCTGTTGAGTGTACTACCTTGAGATTAGTGGTGGAGTTCATGGATCCATGGGGACCCTGAGCTCCTGATATTCCCTGTACAGGAACAATACTGGGACTGCAAAATGGCCAGTGGGTGACTGCCAGATTACTTCTTTTAAGGAGGTTTTTAAAAAAATACT